AATATCGAAATACCATAAATAGTGAATGAAATCAATGAAAATATATAATATTTTAATCCTTGAAATCAATTAATAATTTACACAAAACTCTTCCTTCTTTGAAGATTGCCTTAAAATCTTCAGACTTTTCACATTAGATAAAGAAATGAACGCAAAATGTTTAGTATTAAATGAAATGAATTTATTAAAAATGTACGCGTACAATTAATTTGAAAGATTTTACATCAATTTGGTCGATCTTTTACACAATGAGATAGATTTTCAATCAGTCCATTAAAGCAGTTACTTCTTGTAGTAAGTAGAGTATCCATAACCTGTCAAACAATTTCATTATTTAGTAATTAATTTAAAAAAATAAAATATTTTCAAAAATCATTTCAGTAATTTATAAAGTTAACTTTAAATATATAAGCAATTCTAAATATTGAAAAGCATAAAGCTAAATAATTTATCATTAAATTAAACAATACATACCGCCATAAGGATAAGCTCCACCATAACCATAGGCAGCATTACCGTAATATCCGTGCGAATAGGCTGTAGAACCAAAAAATGGACATTTTAATAACAATTTAAGGCCAATTTGAATGAGTATGGCAGACCTGGGGCAGCCGCATAACCGGCCGAATAATAAGGTGAAGCACCATAGCCTCCATATCCGGTTCCGTAGTAATACTGAGCGCTAGTCATGGCGATGGCAGCCAACACAAGGACTAAGATCTAATTCACATAAAAATAAGTTACATTTCAAATCATTTCAATCACTAAAAATACAACTCAAATACTAACCATAACTTTCATTTTGAGTGAGTGTTTGGGTTTTGTTTTGCGAACAAAATTAAATTCAAGATTTGATAGTTTTGTGCCTAAGATTCTGTGTTCATCTCTTTATATATTCTTGTGATGGCCTTCAAAGACAAAGAATTCATTCAAATCTATACACGAAGAATATATAATTTACCATAAAAAAATAAATTTGCCCACCGAGCCTGGGGAGTGAGATTCACCCAACATTACAGTATTGAATCCCACAACTATTACATAACTATTGCCGTCAAATGATCCACAGCTTCAACACGTGAGAGAGCTGTCCGATTGATGTTAGAAAAAAATCTGTTATTTTGTTTATAAGATTGTGTAGAATTGAGCAGAGGTTGGGTTTGTTGTAATAAATTCTGGTTAATTTCCCATTTAATCGCATCGACGCCCTTTCAAATGCACTAAATTGTTATGTTTTGTTAATAAGTCTAAATAGAAAAAAGCAATTCTTAGGGGGTATTCATGTAAAAACCGTTTGCGTTATTAAGCCTTTGATTATATAAAAATAATACTGATTTGACAGAACTTTTTCTACCCCTTTATGATTGGTATTTCTTATAGATAACAAGTGCAAAATAGAGACCTTGATGTCGATTATTTAATTAATTGATTTTTATATACAAAGTATTTCTCAAACACTAAATACAAACTTACATACAATAGAAAAAACTCAAACCAATTATTTTAGATTTTTATTTCGTGCAATGAATTTATAATCATATTAAAAATTATATACATTTGGATATATCATATAACTATTTTAAAATTCATGCAAAATTCGTTGCAATATTTCTTTGTTCTGTAATAATGTATTTAAATTGTGTGATATTTTATCTTAATATCACAAAAATATATGGTTTAAATTTAAAACTTTTATAAGGCAATTAAGTTGTACAACATCTTACAAAGTTTTATTAAATAAAATTAAAATAGACAATTTAATTAAATTAATATGTTGTATTCAAGAATAAAATATTCTAGGTTTAAGAAACACAATAAAAATTAAGTTATTGATAATAATAAATTTTTAATTACTTGGAAACTTGGTTAAGTTTTCAGTAAAGTTTAAAAGTAGATTAAATTATGAAATTATACTAACTATCACATTTTAAATGTGCAACATTTTTATGCAAAATAAAAGTTTTAAATTAATATTACTGTAGTTTTTATTCAATTTCAATATCGAGATCCAAAAGAGGCGATTCATAGTCTCCGTGAGTGAGCGACAAAACGTGAGGACTTCTGTAATTCTCGTAGTGTTGTTGTTGTAGTTGTGGCCCAAAGTCATAGTCATTAGATCTGATATAATTAGCCGAACAGCACATCGAGAAACAAATGATCACAAATATCACAAACATTTTCGTTTTCACTAAAATTTTATGCTTAAAATGCAAATGAAATGATAGAGTATTTGTCGCCTCTTTTATATTAATAAGTGTCGTTTCAATTGATTAGTTTTCTCTTTTATCTTATTTAATGCTTTACTTTTAATGCATAATTAATTTTACTTTCCTTTAAAGTTGATGTCAATTACAATAAGTTAATAAATGTTAATTTTATTACATTAATACTACTTTTTTTTGCTACTTTTTAAAAAATGTAACAACTTTTAACTATTATATTATAAAATGGTTTAATTTATACCTATTTTTAATAATAACTACTCGTTATACTAAACACCCAAATGCTGGAAGATTTTAATTAAATATGTGTTAATAGAAAAACACAATTTTGTAAATATATTTAATGACAATTCAATTCAATGAACCAAAAATGTTGTTTAAAATTCACATTCAGGTCATTATAATTGATAAACAATGACTTCATTAAATGCATTGCATTTTACTATAACTTTATCTCTATTTTGAAAATTTGTATTTTTATCCTTTTTATTGTTTCGTCGATTTTCTTAAAAATATTTATTAATTAAAAATTTGAAATATAAATGATAATAAGACAAATATTTGTTATATAAAGTAATTTGGTTACAAAACTAAAATTGAAATAAATATTTATTAAAATATATTAATTATAAAAGAAGATTTTACTGATTTATAAGCAATACATTATTTAATAATTATTAAAATGTTAAATATGTTTACTTTGTTGTTAATTATGTTATGATACTGTACTATATATTAAAAAATTCTTGGCATATATAACTAGCGATTACATTGTCTTATAATAAAACCACAAAAACATGTAATTTTGCGAAACATAAAGATCTCAATTAAAATTAATTATAAAGTACTTTTACTCTCTTATATGCAATCAAATGTAACTGAAATATAATTTGTGATAAATTTCAAGTTTAATTGAAAAATAGTCTAATTGTCTTCAAGTTCGGCGTTTATTATCCTTAAGTATTGTCTTTAAAAAGTGATCATAACTTCAGAGGAATAAACAATACATTGTTTGCTTCGATAGACACTTTGGTTTGGCTTTCATTATCTGCCAAAACAATAGCAATTATAGTCTAATTCAGATCACAAGTCCATTAATTCATTCATATATTTCTTTATCATTTCATTATTGACTATTAATTAGCACTAAAACACACTTCGCTTTCGTATATAAAAGCCAATGGTTTGTGAAAATAGTTTCACTTTTCAAATTCATTAAAAATGTCTTATTTGGTAAGCAATAGACTTTCATTGAGTTTATAAAAAATAAAATAAGAGTTTAAAAAATTATATTAATGTAATTTTTAAAAATATTTATAATTGTGATTAACTTTAAAATGTATTTTAGAGAACATTAGTTTTTGTGGCAATTGTTCTGTCAGTGTTGGATGTAATCTCTTGCGGCCATTACGGACACGAGTTGGGACACTATGGCCATGGATTGGGCCATTACGGCGGTCACCATTACGGCCATCATCACGAGCACGGCTACGGACACAGCTATGATCATCACGGCTATGGTCACGGCTACGGACACGGCCACCACTTAGGCCACCATGGCCATCACCATCACGGCCATCACGATGACCATCATGGACACTATGGACATCACTCACCCTTTCATTATGGCACTCATATCATTCATCCACACCATGGATATCACGGATACGGTTATCATCATTAATCCATGTTTTAGTAAATTTCTTATTATTCATAAATTATAGTTAGATTCGTATTATAATAACTAAAAAATTAAACCATTAAAACTTTTTTGTTTGTTTGCCTAAAAATATGTTTAATTATTTAAAATCAATGACAAAACAATTAAAACATTTGAGACAATTTTGAATGGAAATTGTAATTTGTATTTCTTTGCATTAATGACCTAATGATCTATTAAAATACATTTGTGTCATGAATTCAATCGTAAGATTTCTT